AATTTCAGGAAAATTAAAAAATGCTCTCATAGTTCTGTTAAAGTATTACGTAACTTCGTAACTACATATAGTACGCAGCTGTATGTCAAAATTATAATTTGTATGAAGGTTACTGCAAACAAGTCTAAAATRTTATGTTATATATCACAACGGTTATTTTTATATCTGAGTACGACGTACAATTTTTCAAAATGTTCTCATACGAGCAGTAGACAATTTTAAAATCATAAWTTGGTCAGACGCCTATAGTAATATGATTTTCAAAAAATKTATACCTACCTCCCTATACGTTATTATTTGCAACTACCTATTTCAAATTTAASAGCTTCAACTATCCGAAATAAAAACTAAATAAATATGAAAAAATATGCATTTATTCCAGAAAAAATATRAATTGAATATTTCGTTATTTTCTATTTAAAGTTGTTATTATTATCATGGATCAAGCATCTATACTTTAATGGGAACGTTGATGAATTTCAATCCATATTGTTATCCTATTCAGTCTCGTCTATAGATAGGTTTTCGTCGTACCATCCTAGTGATAACCGTGCGCATGTTTTTCGCTTAAGACATAATATTTAATGCTAAATTAATTTGTTTTTATTCAGGAAATGTTTTTTAAATTACCTATATCTAATTATAAATAATAAGTTCTTACGCGACATTTGTATATTGCGTACCATCTCTGACCTGTTGAGAACCGCTGGCATACCAAACAATTTCCAATCCCATAAAATGTTTATTATGGAATATAGATCCTCTTTCTATAAAATATTAGGTACGAAGTATCTATCCAAAGAATTGTGTACAGTTTTAATGTCGTAATAATGATATATATACAAAGTGTTTAACAGGTATATTTGACTATAATTCTACAACTTTTTTTTTATTCAATATTTTTAAGTTTTTTTTTTTTTTCAGTAATGATTTATAGAGCTCTGCGTTATAATTATCATATTTTATTTTATTTTTTCACGACTAAAATCAAGTAATTTAAATTCTGTATTAATTGTTTTTTCTAATAATCCGAGATAGCTATTTTATAAAAAGGTATTTAAAAACAGTTTTGGCGTTTAAAACTTTTTAATTTGATTACGTCATTGATTTTTAAACAATATTGAAAGTTTGTTAAAACTCATTTTTTTTCTTTTTTGTTGATCATTATTTTGCTATCATTAAAAGGTATAGGGTAATCAATAATAAATACATATATTATTTTATCATTGTTTAACATGACCACGTGATGCATACCACCACCATTAGTCAAAAGTTACACCCTGTATATATTTCATTTTTATAGCGTTTCATTTATGTTATAAATAGGTATGGGAATTTAATATCCTAACTAAACCCAAACAAATTTAAAAAATGTATAAAATTCATATAATTTTTTTATCTTAAACAAGTTTTGAATCAAAAAATATTTTTTATTAAAAACACATTGACGGTCATGATTGTAATAACTAATAACCTTACAACAAATTCTGCCGATTTCATGTCACTTTGTATTACCTAATGGCTAGCAAAGTATGGCCGTCAATGTGTTAAAAAAAGTTTTGCATGACTGCACAATTTTAAGTCTTCTACGTTGTACTTTTGACTTGAAAAAATAATTATTCTCGTTTAATTTTTGTAATATTGACTTGAAGGTTGTACGGATCTAAGCATTCGGAAAATTATTACGATTAATAATATTTGAATTATTAAATACCTTGTTAGCACGTGACTAAGTTACTTTTCGAAATAAAAATTTAAAATAATCGCCTTAGAATTGAAAATTGTCATTAAATATAAAATAAAACGTCTTATACTACTTCAAAAATATAAGAAACATAATTTACTTATGTTATAATATGAGCATAACTAGCGCTGAAAACAATGCAAATGCATCAAAAATTCAGCCCTAATTATTAAGATTAACTTATAAATGTACAACATAAACTATATATACCGTCKTAATTATGTTTAACCAGTAATTACATTAACAAGTTCCCTSATTTAATTTTTCTTAACTTCAACTCACAGATTCACAKACTTCTATAGCTACTGAGTAAACTTTTTTTGTGTATTATTCTATGGTGTAACTGTGTAAATATAACTATATTAATACATAAATAGTATACTCAGTATTCTAGAATAGAGTACTCTGTATTTAAACTCGTATTTGTCTCTTGAGTCATAATATACCAAATAGTTAATATATTATTAAATTTACTAACTCAATTTATTCGCGTTGTACCATTGTAAATATAACAACATTTTTTGTTTACTGACAGATTTCAATTATTAAGCTATGAGAAAAAATTAACAATTTGTTTAGTATGCCTTTATATACATGTGTATTATATAATATGATAAAATCAATATTAGTATATYCTTTATAATAATATTATTAAGCTTTGTTGTTGTTATTATTGTTGTGGTTGTTGGTGTTGCCATTGCTATGTTAAGTGTATTTAATTATTTGATGCTTAAAATAATTTACATACCATATTTTTAATGTTTACCTTTTAATTACTTTTATTTATTGTTTTTCTTTTCTAAAAAAATAAAATAATATGATAAATTATAAGTTATGTACAATTTTATCTATAATAATATTAAATATTTTGAGGTTTGCTTTTAATGATAAAGATGTAATTTAATGTTGTATAATAGGACATGCATAATATAAGTAGAAATGTACAGTAAACTATTAGGTATAAATTATCTGTTTGAACGTATATTAATTCATAAAATTATTAATTCGGCTGTTTTTTTATTATATTATATATTTATATAAGAAATGCTAAATTTAATTATAATGATGATAACTGGTTTGTATTTATTTGTGTCTTTTATTCAAAAATTAAAATATTTTTCAGATAATAGTTTATTTACAATGTTACATATTATTAGTTTTAGATAGGTACTTAAATTGATTAATGAATATCCAATTTTTGTTTTTTTGGTAAAGAACCAAAAGCTGAGATAATTGTTCCCTTTGTACCTGTTACAGATGTTGTAAGATCCCACTTACTTTTCTTATCGTCTTGTTTATGGGAACTTGAAACATTGATTGATGTAGTCTTTTTTGTACCAGACACAACTTCAACCTATAATTAAAATCAGTAATATATTTAAAATTATCTAAGTGTAACTAACACACAGAACTTACTTTAGTTTTTTCTTTTCTTTCTTTCTGTCTTTTTTCCATATCTTCTTTTTGCAAGCGACCCAATTCTTCATAGTAAGATTCTTTACCCCATCTTAAGGGGTCATATAAATGAGGTGGATAATTTGTGCCCAACTCATTAATATTACAAAACTGTAAAAGTTTTTCGTATATGCTAGGATTTCTAAAATCCTTCCTTTTTTGAATCAAAAAATTCATGTCCATACCATCTTTTTCCATTTTTTCATGCAATCGTGTTATCTTTTCTTGTAGTTCTTTAGAGCATCTACCATGAGGTTCGGGCGGTAAAATATCTTCTTCATCTACATCCGAACGTCGATCTATTTCTATATCTTCATCTGACATCACAATATCGTGATCTTCAAAATATGACACAAGATTAGTTTTTTTGTCATCATCTGGATTAGTAACAGCTGGCGCTGAATTTGGTATTTGTAGTTGAGGACTGGGTATATGTTCTTGCTGGAGTTCATTGGAAATAGACACTTCTTCAATATGTCTACGTTGACTGGGTGTAGTACCCTCATCTTCTGAGTCAGTATAATTAGCAGTCAATGATGCAAGAGCTGACATTTTTTATTTATTGAAATCAACTATAAACAACAAAATGTCATAAAATTAAAATTGCATTGTCTAATAACTAATTAACTTAGTAAACTGGCTAAATAATTCAGTAAAAACCAGTGGCGGACTGGTAGAAAAACACAGCCCGGGAAAATCATAATTGAAGAGGCCCTCAATATACTAACGACCTTTTAAATGTATAATATCTTTTTTTATACGTCATGTGGATGCTATAACAACCTATGTACCTAATAACTATTTTAGATTCTGAGCGGAGCGATGAATGTATTGTTTTTATAAAACGATGTGTGTTCTTTTATTTTTATTTGTGTCTGTCATGACGTTTTAGCATAGTAAAAATGCTTAAATTTTTTTCAACAGTATCTCTTCTGATAGGAAAGTGAATCTAGTTGGTATTTCCCAGTAGTTTTCAAAAGTGCTGTGAAAAACAAAAGAAAAATTATGGAAAAACAGAATTTTTACGCAAAATCGATTTTATTCTGTGATGTAACTCTAAAACAAATGACCGTAGATACACAATCGTTTTTCGTATACAACAATATTATATCATTGAATTCATATTTTAATAGCACCCATTACAGTGACCTACTTTTAACCTACTGTACAGCAGAATGACATCCACTTTTCAAACTTGTAACAATAAGTAGTGAACAAGCCTGGTCTGGCCGAATGCAAGCCAGTCCCGCATTTTAAAATACCTAATCAGAAAACTAGGTTTTTATGTTTAATAATATTTTATATTACATACTTATTACTTATTAGATAATATTTTAATTTATAATTTCACCATTATAATATTAATAAATATGGTATATTTTATACCAGCAGCGGCCCACCGGGAAATTTCCCGGTATCCCGGTCGTCCAGTTTGCCACTGGTAAAAACTGATCAAATGGTATTGATAACTAGGATGAATGTCGAGGATGGAAGATTAGCCATCCAAAAGATATTTCATTCAATATTGTTACTCAAATTACAAAACCTAATATATACATATTTAGCATTTTTCAGGTACAAATTATACAAATACGTGTAATCACATACACAAAAACTATACATTTGGTTCAATTCGTGAATTAAAAGACAAGACATTACATATCTATCTAGTAGATACCTATATACAGTGGCGTGACGGAGGACTATATTTGAGGCACGTGCCTCAGTTGAGTGGTGGTGGGTGTCCTTAAAGATCATCTGATGTGTTAAAAAAGCATTTTTATTTAAATGAATAAATATATTTCATCTTAAAAAAATTTTTTTAATGTTTTTTGTGATGGGTGGASTGGGTGGTTGGTCTGACAATATAACTGTGCCTCATAACATAATGAAGTTCGCCACGCCACTGCCTATATAAGCAGTAACAAATGTAGATAACACAGCTGTGGTCATAACATCAGTAGAACCTTAAAAATAGCATTGATTAAGTAAACATTAACTTGTTTACTTAATCAATAAAAATAGTAAAATGCAAATGAAATATTCAGTCTGAGACTAAAAAGATTAATCAAGAAAAGATTCAATCTCGAAAAACGTTAATTTATAGTCTTATGAAAACAAAATTAATAAAAAAGAAGGCGTTTATTGCAAATAAAACAAAAMCTATTAATGCATTTTTATTTAGATATATTTATATTAAATGTTTGATCTCATCAAACCACATTATTTTTTGTAGTTAATGCTTTTGAATGAAAGACCTGACATAAAAGTTTCTGTTTTATATTATAGGTATGTTAAATTAACGAAATTAATAATAAGTCATTGATTATTGTGTACTACTTAGGATAATATGAAAATACAATTACGCAAAATATGTGCAGAATTATAACTTTAGAGCGATTATTAAAACTATGGTTTAAACTGAAAAAACTGTTTAGTTTTACCTGCTGAAATATCTGGAGGTTTGAGGTAGATATTGTTTTCAGAGATTGTTTATGTGTTTATCATTTACTATCTACTAAATGTTTAATAGTTTTAATAATTTCGTCAAACCATTATTAAGTGTTATGGATAAAACGATAAAAGTAAAAAATTGAAAAATGAAGTATGAACTCAATGATTGTCGATACTCGATTGATTACAATAATACAATAATTTACTTATTATAATATTATCATTGTYATTATTATTATGATTCTACAGCGCTCTCTAGGTGTAAACAACTATAATATTATGCCTATAAAAACTATAAATATAATATTTGCTATGGAATTTAAAAAAAAAGTAAATATATATTTATACATATATACTCATAGACCATAGTAAAGTCCACATCAGTTTAAGGTCAATTCACACATGTCCGGTCCGTGTCCGGTCCGTAT